GCATTGGAGTCGGGAGACTGAGCCCCAGAGCGGGGCTGTGACATGTCCCAGGGCACACAGCAGAAGAGGAGCCGGGAGAGAACGTAGATCTCTGTGCGCCTGTGCACCCCCTCACCCCGCTTCTTTTCTTCTCTAGGCCTTTGCCTCCAGCCTCTCCGGCTCCCTGGCTACCCAGGCGGTCTTGTTGGGCATAGGGGTGGGGAATGCAAGAGCCTCCGTTTCAGCTGCCACAGCTACCTGGCTTGTGAAAGGTGAGCTGAACTCCTGGAAACGCACCTGTTGCTGCTCTCAGCCCTGCCAGGCCTCCCTCTGCAGAGTCCTTTCCTCCTATACCAGCCTTCAGGCCTGTAGCTCTGGGCTCTGGTGTGTGTGCGTGTGTGTGTATCTATAGATACATATGTTTCTATTTATCTCTATATATTTTTAAAATTTTTTTCTTTCTTTTATATCTTTATCCATTTATTTATTTATTTTTATATGACCATAGAGGAATAGAATGAGAGAGAAAGTGAAAAAGCAAGCTGCCAGGTCTGGGACTCGAACCGAGATCAGCCATGTGGGAGTCCAGCACCTTTAACCACCACACCACCTGCCGCCTCCTATCTATATTTTTTTTTTTTAAGAGAGATTTTTGCTATAGGGTGCATGCGCTCACCAGAGAGATAGAAAGCAAGAAATCGGCCCCCTGGGGTATGGTCACGTTGCAATCCCTTCCCCTCCATTCTCCTCTCAGGATTTTGGGCACACACATACACATGAGTGAATTTTAAACTGCCAGGTCTGGGACTTGAACTGCAGTTGACTATGTGGGAGTCCAGCAACATAACCATTACGCCATTTGCTGGTCTCAGATGTATGTATATTTGTGGACTCGTTCCTGATTAGGTCAGATAAAAGGGCCAAGTCTCCCCAGTACCTTGAATAGTGCCCTGTACCCCAGTCTTACCTCCCACAGCTCTTACTCTCTCTTTCTCTCTCTTTTTCTTTTTTTTTGGGGGGGCGGGGGGTTGCCATAGGGCATGTGGGCTGCCAGGAGAGAGACAGAGAAAGGCAAAGAGAAGTCATCCCCCAGGGGCAATGGCCATGCTGCAATTCTTTCTCTGTCAGTTTCCTCTCAGGATTTTGGCACGCATGCACCCGTGCACGCGCGCACGGCTCTTACTCTCTCTTTCTCTCTCTTTTTCTTTTTTTTTGGGGGGGCGGGGGGTTGCCATAGGGCATGTGGGCTGCCAGGAGAGAGACAGAGAAAGGCAAAGAGAAGTCATCCCCCAGGGGCAATGGCCATGCTGCAATTCTTTCTCTGTCAGTTTCCTCTCAGGATTTTGGCACGCATGCACCCGTGCACACGCGCACGTGCACACGCACACACACACACACACACACACACATACACACACACACCTGGCATGTTTTTCATTCTGGGTCCTGGACTCGAACCATGCAGTCAGCCATGTGGGATCCAGTCTTTTAAGCATCATGCTACCTGCTGGCCCAAAAGAAAGCCTCTTTTTTTTTTTTTTTTTTTTTTTTTTTTTTTTTTTTTTTTTTTTTTTACCAGAGAGGTTTTTGTTATAGGGCATATGTGCTCGCCAGAAAGACACAGAGAGACAGACAGAAAGCGAGAAATCACCCCCCAGGAAGGATGGCCACTCCGCAATCCCTTCTCCTCTGTTCTCCTCTCGGGATCTTGGGCACGCACGCACACGTGCCCGGTGTGAGTTTAAGCCACTGGATCCAGGACTCGAACCAAGGTTGACTACATGGGAGTCCAGAGACATAGCCATTATGCTGCTGGTCCCAAGAAAACCTCTTAATTAGAAAGGATTTTATATGCTCATTTCCTAAAACATGGGAAATTTGCATGCAGAGGTTCATATAAGAAATTCCCTTGGCATTTTTTTGATGTGATCATTTTTAGTTAAAGATCTCTTACTGGAACATGATGTTAATCGCCACAACTAGTAAACGCTAGTAGTAGCTAACATTTTGACAATTTACTGTAAATCAGGCGTTTTACGCACTTACGCGTAATTTGCATCTTGATCTCTGCAGCAGTGATATTAGATGCCATTATTGATTCATTTTTCAGGTGGAGAAAGTGAGGCACAGAGCAATTAAGTAGCTTGTCCAAGGTCACTCAGGATTTGGATCTAGGCAGACAGACAGACTCCTGTGTTCTGTTCTAACTACCATACCCTTCCCGGTTAGGATTTTAAAGTGGAGTTATGTATAGTTTGTGGACAGCCGATCCCTTAGTAGGTCTCAGAAGATTCTAGATCTTACAACTCAGCTAGTTGTGAGGCAAAGAAGTGCAGGTGAGAATAACGTTTTCTATTGCAGTGGACAGCATTGACTTTCAGATGGCAGGGAGGGTATGTGTCCTTAAAGCATCCTGTTGCCGACTTCCAGATTCTGCCATGGAAAGGTAGCGGGCCCGAGGACGACATATGCCTGATTGTATATGAATGTACAAAGGGAAGAAAAATGGCCTGGCCTGGTGGGCTTCCTGTCTGCTGGTTAAAGTGTTCTTACCATGTTCAGAATTGCCGAGGTGATCCAATACAGGAATCTTAAATGGAACAACGAAGATGTTCTGTGGACTGTAATGTACTTGAAGTGAAGGGATTAAAGAGAGAGATGGGAAGGAGGAGGTCTGGAAAGTCACCCTGGTGAGCGTTACTTCCAGGACCAGAAAGCAGACAGCAGTGAGAGGCAGAGCGGGCAGGGTGGGAGCGTGCTACACGCACAGTTCTCTGCATGAGGAGCTGTTGCTCAGCCCCAGCAGTCGTGCCAGTGAGGGAAGGCATGCCCAGTGTTATCATGTCTGTGGGTTCTTCCAGAAAAGCTAGAAATCCAGATTTTCTTTTAAGATATCCCAGTTTTGTTCACATATCTTCCGTGAACTTCAGGTGCTTGATCTGTGAAAGGGAATGATCCCTCCCAAACTCAGGATTGTTGTGAAGATTGAAAGGCATAGGTATTTCTGGGCACAGAGTGCTTAGCAGGTTTCTTCTAGTTTACATTGGATAAACGTGTCTCTTAGAAGGCCTCCATGCCCGAGAAAGAGGTCTGGCAAGGAGTGGATCATGTGCTTTCAGTGGAGAATAGAGAGGACTGGCCAAGGCGCCATCTTTATTTGTTGTGGGAAATTCTCAGCCCTCTCTCCCACAGGTTAGCTTCCCTTCTCCTTGCATCTCCCACTTCAGGGGCCATGCCTTCAAGTTCTGGCGAATTGGCGTTCTCTGCCCACTGTATCTATTCTTTTTTCTGGTGTCTGGATCTAAAACATTCTTCCTTTGTGACTTGCCTGTTGGTTTTCTTTCTTTCTTTCTTCTTCTTCTTCTTCTTCTTCTTTTTTTTTTTTTTTTAAAGAAGTATTTATTTGGAACCAGCAGTTGGCATAATGGCTATGTTGCTGGACTTTCACGTAGTTGACCATGGTTCAGGTCCTGGACCCAGTGGCTTAAACTCACAGCAGGCACGTGTGCGTGCGTGCTCAAGATCCCGAGAGGAGAATGGAGGAGAAGGGATTGCAGCGTGGCCATCCCCCCTGGGGGGTGATTTCTCACTTTCTTTCTGTCTCTGTCTTTCTGGCGAGCACACGTACCCTATAGCAAAAACCTCTCCAAAAAAAAAAAAAAAGTTTGCTATAGGGTGCATATGCTTGCTGGAGAGAGAGAGAGAAAGAGAAGGAAAGTGAGAGTCACTACCTAGGGAAAATGACCACACTGCAATCTCTTCTGATCCATTCTCCTCTCAGAATTTGGGCACCCACGCATGTATATACACCCAGCATGTTTTTCAAGCCACTAGGTCTGGGACTTGAACAATGAAGTCGCCTTGTGGGATTCAGCCACAGAATTTTTTTTTTAATTTGCTGGAGGGTGCATTTGTTCACCTGAGAGAAATGGGGGTGGTGGGAAGGAGTAGGGAAAAGCACTGCCCATGGGGAATAATCACACTGTAGTCTCTTACCCATCTATCCCTCTTTGTAGGAATGCGGGCATGCGTATGCACATGCCCTGTGTATTTTTCAAACTGCCAGGCCTGTGTGGTTGGTTACGTGAGATCTAGCTGCCTTAACCACCAGGCCACAGGCTGGCCTGAAAGTGCCAGAATTTATCTGTGCGTTCTCTTGTCAGTGAACATTTGTTTAGTCTTAGTTTTTGGCGATTATGAACAACACTGCAAAGAACCTGCTGCCCATGTCGCTCAGTGTCCACAGGTATTTGATTGTCTTGAGCACATAGTGAGAGACTGCTAAGGCTAGGCACTTCTGACCCTTCTGACCACGTCATGCATCCATGTCTACCCAGAACTTAAGGGACTGTACTGAGCCCCCAAGGGCAGTGACCTGGGGCGAAGCAGCCAGTTTAGTGCTGGAGTCTGCCAGGCCCCACGACTCCCAGGCCTGTCCCCTGTTTCTTACCTGTGCCTTCTCTCCTGCAGACTCAACTGGCATGCTGGGCCGCATTGTCTTTGCCTGGTGGAAGGGGTAAGTTTGTCTTTGCAGCGAGCAGACTTCTGGCAACTGTCCCCATCAGTAGTAATGGTAGAATAGTATCAGCCATTAACTATGGTTGTGAGGGTTCAGCCAGGCAGTCTGCGAAGTGTCTAATGTATAGTGTGGCACCAGAGTGCTCAGGGAACAGCCGCTGTTACTGCACAAGCATCTGTGGGTTTTCTCCAGTAAGACTGTCGGGCACAACTGGATGTGTGCATTTTTATAGATGTGAGGCACCTAGAAGAGTGAGATTACTTGCCCAAGCCACACAGCTTGTAGTTAGTGAGATGGGATTTGAATCTGAAGCCTGGGACCAGTTGGTGGCATGGTGGTGGGGGTGGCTGGATCCCACATGGGTGACTCCATGGTTCAAGTCCCAGACCTGGAGGTATCTAAAATATGCAGGTCGGGGCCGGCAGGTGGCATGGTGGTTAGGGGTGCCGGACTCCCACATGGCTGACCGTGGTTCAAGTCCTGGACCTGGCGGCTGGCTTCCTCATTCTCCCCGTCTCACTCTGTCCCTCTCTGCTCAAATTATGAATAAATAAAGTTAAATAATTCTTTAACACCGGAAAAAAAAATATGCAGGGCATGTGTGCATACATGCCCCCAAATTCCAAGAGGAGATGGAGGAGAAGGGATTGCAACATGGCCACCCTCCTGAGGGTGATTTCTCATTTTCTTTCTCTGTTTCTTTCAGGTGAGTACACATGCCCTATATCAAGTTTTTTTTTTTTTAAAAAAAAGAACCTAAAGCATTTATTGTTTCCAGTATCAGAGTGGTTTACTGGGCAGAACCCTAGGCCAGGCCCCTGTGTTTAGGAGCTCCCTGTGTGTCTGGTAGCCCACCTGGAAAGGCTTCCTTTCCCTCAGGGAGGTTTGAAATTAGGCTCAGGGTTAATGCAGCAAATTCTGGGCCGAGCTGGAGGCTATAGCATCTTCTGCTACTAGGACCTCAGAGAAGTGGTTCCCAGGTGTTTTTGCACAGGCCAGAGAGTCATCGCCTGACACAGGGACCACCATTCAGTGTCATGAATCAGAAGCGTCCTAGGCCTGGACACTGGAGACCACCTCTTCTCTGGGACTTCATGCTCCGCTCTCCATGTGATCTGTGATGATCCAGATGAATTGTGTCTACTCTCTGGGCTAGTCATCTGCAACACACAGGGCTACCTACATCTAGTGTTTACCAACCCCCAGAACGGACTTCTTGTGCGTGCCCGCAATGAAGTGGGAAGGAGAGGGGAGAGGCAGAACCCAGGAGTACCCTTCCTCAAAGGAAAGCTAGAGAGTGGGGAACTGCCACAGGCAGGTTTTTTCCCTTGGTGGGTTAGAAAGGTGGAAACACTGGATGGTCCCCGAAGGTCTTCCCAGTTAATGGTGACAGTGCAGGGATACATGTCACTGGGAGTGTGGGACTCCCCACAGTGCCCAGAGGATATGCTTTCTCCTCAAATCTGAACTACACCAACCTCTCGTCCCCAACAGGAGCAAACTGGACTGTAATGCCAAGCAGTGGAGGTGAGGAGGGGCTGGGCTGGGTGAGGAAAGTCCTCTAGAGTGAAGCTCTTTTACTTCTGACCTCTAACCTCTGGTCACTCCCTCAGGCTTTTCGCTGACATCCTCAATGATGTAGCCATGTTCCTCGAGATTATGGCTCCCATATACCCGATCTTTTTCACCATGACCATCTGTACCAGCAACCTGGCCAAGGTACCCACCTCTGGGGCTCCCCTGTGACCCAGACACCTTCCTCGGTGGTGCCGCGTGTGGGTTCACCTAGGCACTGAGGTACTTCTAGAACAGTGGGAAGGTTCAGGTAGTTCTTCTCAGACCCAACCATGTTTGCTGGTCCTCCACCCCAGCCAGCCAGCCTCTAGTGCCCCAGTCAGTCAGTCTAGGACAGTGTCTGGAGCCACGGGACTGGCGAGGATGTTCCAAGCTGAGAGGTACGAGGGGTGGTCCAGTGTCAGCATTTTGGGACCAACTTCCTGGCTACCTTTTATTTTTTTAAATATTGATTAAGTGCCTGTTGCATATTTTGCACAGAGCATGGGCCCTCCCATCTTTGACAGGAAGCCACACATAGTAATCCAAATATTTATGGGGTGATAGCTACAAGTATTCCAAATGAGACCTATAGTGTAGTGTAAGAGGGTTCAG